TGAGTGCTTTCTATTAATTATGCTACATTTACCTTAATGCTTCATTGCAGATTTACTAAACGCTCTAGGAATACATCCTACGAGAATAAGGTATTCTTTTTTACTATGTATCCACCAATATTTCTAATAACAAAACGCGAATGAATGACAAATCCAAGGATTGGATCAAAAATAACTTTTAAATTAATATAACAGAAATATTTAATCAGCTTTGTCTATATTACCCTTTTGTCYTCAGACAAATGTAGAATTGGAAAGCATCCCAGACAAAGAGACGTTCTGTTCAAATGATGCCAACGWCAGACCCGGTATACAAAGCGATGCATCTTGTGAAGCCGTGGTAGACAATGCTTCTCATTACCAATCYCTCAGTTCTGCAACTCGACGTACCGTTGATGAGGCGCGGCCTCCTCAGCTTTATGAGCCATTGATTAAAAATTCTAAGAAACCTCGGCAAAGCGAATATGCGTCAGTCCAGATTAATAGCCGTTCGAATCCCGAGGGTGTGGTTGAAGAAAAAAACCCTAAGGAAAATGCCACCGTTGCATAAAAAACGACTGCTCAAATTAATAGTAAATAATGAATTAAAATTGTGCAAAAGCATTGTTAAGTTAATGCAAATAGCCAGCAAACATTGACTTGATGTTTTTGACTAACTTGAAAGGTAAATGAAGTGATTAGAAAGTTGAAATATTATTTTTCTTGGCAAAGATTATTGTTGTTGAGTTGGTTCTATTTTGAATACTAATTTTAGAGTGTCCTATAATAAACGAATGTTAGTAAATTTGGGTTCTAATGATCACTAATTGATATGCGAGGAGGATTTTTTTTATCAGGTTTAAAAGTGCAGGGGTGTAGGGCGTGGTTCTCTAGTGGTTAACAACTGCGTGTCCCCTTGGGCTATGCGCACAGTATACCGGATAGTACCCTGCGAGCAGAGTCTCCTTTGAACTCCTCTCGCCCGTAGAGGAGTTGAAAGGAGACTCTGCTCGCAGGGTAACCGGATATCAATTGTTATAGAGCATACCGGATATGCCTTCTGTTCACACAAGGACGCTTGTTTTTGGAGTGATTTTTGTTGGGAGTAGATGTTGCTCCGATCCTGCTTCAAAAGTAATACACTTCGTATACACTATGTTTTTGAGCCGATTAAAGTGCAAGTTCAACAGCAAGATTCGGTATGTAGGCGTAAGTTAAAGTGCTTTAAGTAAAGAGAGGGAGTTGGTAACTAGTATTAAAATACAAAATGCTGGCTCATGCTTCGTTTCACGCCTTAAACACGGTCAAGGATACTCTTAAATACGGTCAATAAAAAGGATACTCTTAAATACGGTCAAGGATACCCTTAAATACGGCCCTAAATCATTTTCCGTCCATTAAGATTATTCAAAAGTACCTTATAATCAAAAAGTTCCTTTCGTTGGATTTGAACTCAATTAGTCCATGTCTTTTTCACATCAAGTGAAAGGACCTTTTCGAATATGATCCAGTGAAATAACTTTTTTTACGCGAAGCATTTACGGCTACGCCGGCGATTTTGGCCCCGACACCGCTATCCGAAGAATTACAGCCTGGTCAGGAAGCTAGGCCAAAGCCTAAGGGAGAGGTTAGTTGGCCCCTAGACCATAGATGATTAACCCCAAGCTATGACCAGCACACTCAAAATTCTAGATTGTGACTATAATGGTTTGAACGCATGCTCACTCTTTTCCATGTGGGATGCGTCATAAAAACTGTTCTTCACTATTGCATCTCACTAGCAGCTTTAGCATACAGTGTACTCTGAACACTTAATGATGTCAAAACGTGGTGCAACGGTGAACGGCAAGAACGATTTGTCTTTATAACTAACCCTTCGTAAATGAGTCCTTATTCAAGAAACACATCGGTAATTTGGAATGCGAAACTGGTCTATTGTGGCAAAAATTCATTGAGAAAATTTCATTTAAGAGTTATTTAAAAATATATACTTATTAGAGGGGGATGTGCTTCTGTTATCAATTATTTATTTTTATATTATTATTTTTTAATTTGTTATTATTAACTCCAATGCCGTAACGTTTTTTATACCTAGCCAATAAAATAGTCGATATCGTGATGTCGTGACAAAAATCGCAACTCCCAACCTCACCCCCACCCCACTCCCCTATGCGTGTGATAGATAAT